CGGCGTATTAGCAATGCCAAAAGGGTTATAAGGGCTTTACAATTTATCAGTTACGTTCTTAAATCTCTATCTACCGGAAATAAGATATAAGAGGTCTCGACCTAACGCATACCCAGGGGTCTAGCGAATACACGTAAATGCCGTATACCTTCACTTTTATCAGCCTTTACAACTTCAAAACCCCTTGAAATGTAGTGGATAGGCCTCTGACAGTTATATATTCGGTTTTTAGGAAAAATTAACAGTAGATTCGAGGGCCGATGCGTTATCAGATGCCTACAGAAATCACATAGGTAGTAGCCTCGGAGCTTGCTCATGCTAGAGGAGAAAGGGTCGATGAGCTTATTAATGGCCATTGAAATTGTTGCAGTGAGGCCCTGCAGCTACGTGATTGTCAGCCAAGTAATCTAGGGGACGAAGGATCTTCGACAAGATACATACGACTTCCCCCTCCACAAATGACCCGATGGCATTGTTGATCTCGTTTCCAGTATTCTAGGCGTCCTTCTTGAAGTTTCAGTACGACTGGTAGCTTTTGGCTGTGAGTTTGTCAACCGGCAACAACATGGCCCGAGCACTGGCCGTCTCGGAAACGATCTCGTCAAAGAAGGCCTCGGCTTTGGGATTGCAAAGCGCCTTCAAGGAGTTGGGCGCGTCATTGGCCGCCTTGTTCTTTTCCTCTTGGTTATCAACACTCTCGATCACCTTAGAGATGGCTGCACCCATTTCAAAAGAGACAAAAGCTCGAACACACTGTATCGGTAGTCTTGCGTGTAGGAGAGACATTCGACAACTTGCTCAGGTCCTGAACGTGTCTGCATGGTGTGCGGGCACCTCCCATGCACTTGCCCGCTTTAGCTTCCAAAACACCTGTTCGGCCAGCAGTTGGTGGGTCGGATCCGGTCGTCGCCTGAAGCGAGCAAACTATATCTCTGGAATAGGTACTCAGCTGTCCAGCTTTTCGGCTTAGACAAAACCATCATGCCACCATCGACAGATTGCAAACAGACTGAGCCACTTCTGCTGCTCTGACAAGGTGAGGGAGGCTGCTGCTTTTCCATGAGCAGACTCCTCTGCCCACAAGGAACCCGACTCCGCAGTCAAGTCAAAAGTCGGCAGGGTCTCAGTTTGCCAGTTGGCGACCTCTGGGTTCAGTTGTGCCAAGACATGGTCGTCAGTCGAAAGCTGGTTACGCAGTATTCACGGCAGGTACGGCTAGGCAACCAGGCGCTAAACTCGCTCTAAGGCAAGCGGACCAAAAAGCAGCCTCACGCACTACTGCAAGACCCTACTAGAGCCAATATTGCGTATAGCGGCCATGATGACCGAGAATGAAATTGGCGATTTGAAGTTGCTCGTCCTTCTGGACCTGACGAGAGAAGGGTTAGGGTTTGTCGCGCGGTGGGGTCTGCCAAGGCCGCATCGGCATTGTCCGTGGAAATCCAGACCGGACGCTGAAACAGCGACTTCTCCTCGACATCCTCAAGACGACAAGTCGCGCCTCTGGGCCAATTGGCCTCGCCAACCATCGTTACCCGCCTGTGCGCTCGCCAGACGAGCTATTCATTTTGTCCCATCACATATTCAATCCCAACCCACCGAGAGGCGGCGATCCAACCTAACTCGCAACGACCCCGCCATCCAATCTTCATCCCTCCACACCGACCATGTCCGGCGCCGACGCCCCCGAGATCCTCGCCGCCTACGAGGCCGTACGCTCCGACAAGGACGACACAAACTGGCTGCTGATCTCGTACGCCGGCGCGACGGGGTCCCAGCTGACGCTCTCGAAGACGGGCACCGGCGGGCTCGACGAGCTGGCGGCCTCGCTCGACGACGGCCAGGTGCAGTACGCCTACGTGCGGGTCGAGTACGCCAACGATGCCGAGAGCAAGCGCATCAAGTTCGCCTTTGTCGTGTGGATTGGTCCTAACACAAAAGTCATGCGCAAGGCGCGCGCGGGCATCGAGGCCGGGAATGTGAAGAAGGTGCTGGCGCACCATAGCATCCAGGTCGATGCTGGCGAGAGGAGGGATCTGGACGAGAAGGAGATTGTTTCCCGCCTCAGGAAGGCTGGAGGGGCGGACTATAATGGAGGGAGGGGGTGATATTCTTGCAGAATTTCTTACCGTTGGGGGGTGGGGGGGCGCTGTCTGTCTTGGTTAGCGATACCATCTCATGGGCGTCTGGGTCAGATGGATGCGAATATACTGGGTTTCTTCCGTTCTCGAGTTCTGTTGCTTTCCAGTGATGGCTTCAGTTCCAGACCATCCTGTCGTGCCATCCATGACGTAGCAGGGCGATGCTGTTCGACATCGGGTCAAGACACTACGAGAAAGAGAAAGTTCTGGCGGTCCGCTTACGGATGGCCCAACTCGGGAGAGCGTCCCGGATCGTCGGTCGCACCGCGCACGCGATGCAGAATCGATGATGACGGCTTGCTTCGGGAATGCAAGCCGGCGGAGACACAGGCAGGAACGCACGAGGTAGGACGACAGCGTTGCGCCACCTGCTCCGGCGCGTGGGAATCGGATCTACCGCTGGGATCTAACACGTTCGCCGCTCGATCTCAAGATGAGATACAGACACCACCTGGGAAGCAATCGCCATGCCACAAACCTCCAAGCAATGGCGTGTATATCGGACCGATCTCGCCGCTAAACCAGCTGCACGCTACGAGATTTCGGACGGGTCCGAAGTGATACACCCGCCCTCTCTTCCCCTCGATACGCCCATGGTTTGCTTTCCGTCCGTTGTCCGCACCTCACGCGCCGCTAGGGGGTCAGCTAGCCACAGCGGTGAGCAGCTCGAGACGCCCTGTGGGACCTTGTGTCGCGCTCATTGGAAACGGGGGGACCCAGCATCTGCCCTCTGATTCGCGTATGGCGGTTTCCGTCTGGTAGTGTATGTGCACCGGCGATGTCGGCCAAGGGCTTGTTGGGCATACATACACACACACACAATAAATTTCCCCGATGTGTGATCAATGTCTCGTCTCAATGTGTGTGAGACGTATAAAACTTGGTTTTGACACCGTGTTTTGGTATACGGGCTCCTTGTGTCTCTCCAGAATTCCTCGTGTAAAAAAGAGACGAGATGACCCTCGGCGGCGGAGTTTGTTCGTCTTTTCCTTTTCTCAAATCTCTTTCTTTCTCAGCAGACTCGTCGGCCGTTTCCCTTAGTACAATTTTATCACACGGTCAGGAAAAAGAAACAACAACAACAATGGCGCCGCGACCACGCTTCCTCTCCTTCGCCTCGGGCGTCCCGGCCGCGGCTGGCGACGGCCATGAGAAGCCCTCGCCCCTGCTGCCCATGCTCGCGCTCCCGGAGTCAGCGCGCAACAACTTCGTCGCCGTGATAGGCGAGTTCGTCGGCACCTTTTTGTTTCTCTTCTTTGCCTTTGCCGGCACCCAGATCGCTACGGACCCGTCCTCGTCGTCCGAGTCGCTGACCACGCTGATCTTCATCGCGCTCGCGTTCGGAGTCAGCTTGACAGCCAATGTCTGGGCCTTTTATCGCGTGACGGGCGGCCTGTTCAACCCTGCGGTATGTCTGCTCAAACATCGCAGTTTATGGAACTAACCGACGAAAGGTAACCCTCGCCCTCTTCCTCGTAGGCGGCCTTCCGGGCCTCCGCAGCGTCTTCGTCATTATCTCGCAGCTGCTCGGGGGCATCGCGGCGGCTGCCGTCGTGTCGGGACTGTTCCCGGGTCCGATGGGTGTCGCGACGACGCTGGGTCGCGGCACCTCAGTCACGCAGGGCCTGTTCATTGAGATGTTTCTCACCGCTGAGCTCGTGTTTGTGATCATCATGGTCGCGGCCGAGAAGCACAAGGGGACGTACCTGGCACCGGTGGCCATTGGCATTGCGTTTTTCCTAACGCAGCTTGTCGGTAGGTTTCATCAGCAGTCTTTATGCTTTCGTGCTGTCAGCTTGCCGAGGCACCTTCGGCCCTTCCCCCTTCTTCCTCAACCCCACACACACCGCCAACGAGGCACACCATAACTCCTGAACTCGCGATGCACATAAGCACTCAAACCAAACGAGGCAAACATACATACTGACTAACTGATAATGAAAGGCGTCACATTCACAGGCGGCTCCCTCAACCCCGCCCGCTCCCTCGGCCCAGCCGCCGTCTCGGCCTCCTTCCCAGGCTACTTCTGGATCTACGTCCTCGGCCCCATCCTCGGCGCCCTGCTCGCCTCGGCCTTCTATTCGCTTCTCAAGTATCTGAGATGGAAGGAATGCAACCCCGGCCAGGACTGGGATGACATCGAGAATTTGCGGAACCACAAGCACGGTGTGCGGAGTGGGAACTCTGTTGGTGTTGATCCCCTGCAGGCAGGAGAGGACGAGGGAGAGGGACGGCAGGACGGGGCGGTTCAGTCTGGTGTGCAAGGTGTGTGATGTTTTTCTTTTTTTGCTCGTCTTGGAGAATAATCCGGCGAGAATTTGCTGACTGGGTTTCTTTCTTGGGGATAGGGGTTAAGGACTAGGGTGGAGGTTGGCACGGTAAACTGACTTGGGTGGTTGGACAAGTTGCTCAGGACATTTGGGTTGCTCGCATCCAAGTTTCTCGTGTTCAGCAGCATGGGCAACGACCATCGGATGGGAGGGTCAGCATCGCGGTTTCGGATGCATGGCCTGGAAACATGCATCGTCCGTACCTCTCCCCTTGGGGGTGTTTCCACTCGGGATATCAGGTGCCAGAAAGTAGATGTTCACACCTAGATTGCTTTTACTCACTCCATAATAATGACCGATATCTGAGTAAAATAAATCAACTCCACCCGAGATTGAATTGTAACCAGTCCGCCGGATGGGCAGCTCGCTGTTGATAGGTTCGACAAGTGTGCAATGCCCTAGTATTCACTCTTCAACTCCGCGAATAACTTGGGCATTAAGTGCCATATTTTGCCTCAATGTTGGACGCAAAAAGAACGATGGTCTCCTCAGAAACCACGCCCCGGGTGGATGAAAAGTCCAAAAATAACTCGGATACGGGGAGTCGAACCCCGGGCTGCTGAGATCACAGGCTTGTAGGCCATGAGAGTCAGCGATGTTACCGCTACACCATACCCGATTCAATCGTGTATGATCCCGATTTGATGCAGGACGAACGGAAAATACTGCCCTAAGACTGGCGTGCTATAGCCGCTGGATTGATATCAAGACGCCTTTTACCCCTGTACCTCTCGTTCGAAACCCAAACCCACTGCAGGATCGAAGGCCCTCTTCTTACCTTGTTATTTGAGTTGTGGTGCACGATGCCTTTCATTTGGAGCCCTTGCACAGCAGCAGACAGGAGGCAGGAGCTCATTGAACGCAGGCCCGTCGCCACCGAGTCATCACTAGATTTACACAGGAACTCTATGGTTCGGTTATCATCAGACACAAATTTTTGATCTAATAACTGTGACTGCGGATTTGACACCACGACTATCTATGGGTATTCACTTAAAATAAACGCCCCCTCCGGAGGCTCCATCCCAACCAGTGTCGTCCCCTCCGGGAGCCGCTTCGCCCGCTTCCCCCAAGCTAGGAGCGATGAGTAGTCCCGGCAGTGATGGTCCCGCTTGAAATCCGATACAGACTCGTTCTTCAGCACCCAGTAGTACGGCATCAGCCCGGCATCGGCCGTGCACATGAGGCGCTCCCTCAGCATATCAAGGCAGTGGTCTGGGAAGGTCAGTAATGGTGTGTAACTGAGAAAGGGAATACGCACTGATGTGCATGGACAGCAGATGTCCATCGTTAAAGAACTCCTCGCTCCCCAGGCCCCGATAGTAGTCGACGTTGGTGAAGAGGGACTTGCGCAGCAGGTTCAGACAGTGCATCTGGTGAAACGCCTCGACGGAGACGACAAACTGCGGGTCGCCGGGTTCTAGCTCGAGCGTGATGTGGTCTGGCGAGATGTCGGCTTCCCATCCGAAGCGGGTCGAGATGAGTAACTCATCGACTGTTCATGTTAGACTGGGCTCCGGACGGAAGGTGTAGATGGAAAATGGTGAAGACAAAACTTACGGCCGACACCTAGGTCGTCCCAGAGTGCATCGACTTCTGGCGACGGTTTGGCCACGTACTGGCTTTGTTTCGTGATGGTCGCTTGAAATTGCACCCAGTGGTAGTTGGGGTTGACCCCCTTGAGTTCTGGATTCTGTCAGCACCCGCTTCCATGATGGTGATGTGCCGTGGGCATACTTGGATAAACTGGTCCTGGTAGACATGGTTTCCGTCTCAGTATTATGGCCAGTGATGCAATGTTTGTGAGAGCGAGTACTCCCACGATGATGGGGAGCAGGAGCCGGGAACATCGACTGCTTCTTGGCTGCTTCTTGATTCGTTGTCCCTCCTCGGACAGTAGCCCCCTACTATCTTCATTCTCCAACGATTCCCGGTCATCTTTTTCGTAGCGCTCGGAAGTCGACATGTTGGGGATGAACGTGCGAAAGTGCACACGGCATTGCACGAAAGCTGTTTCAAGCAAAAGCTCAAAGTTGGTAAGAATGCTTCCAAAGTAACCGCCCCTACCCGTCGTCATTGAGATGACAAAACATTTTCCCGATAAAAACTCCTTCTAATCCTCCGTGTATCTTTGCTGGTGATATACGCTCATCAAATGCCAAGAAGGGTAGGTAAACGCAGCTTGGCGGCATCCTCATGCAGTCAGCATCTGGCTACGACTGCATACCTAGCAAGAGATACACTACAGCTTCCACATTGCGTAAGATTTTGGGCGTAGACTTCCCCACACACCCTAAAGCATGACAGTTGCAGGCGCCACATCTGGAAGGTGAGACGATCAAAAGCTTGCCGCAACGCCATCCCGACGGGATATTTCCCCGAGTGCGAGGGGCGATTAGTCGGTTCCCTGGAACGGCGGTTCCCGAGTGCGTCGGAGGCATATAACCATGGACGTGATTGGCCACAAGTGTATGGCAACCTAAAACGACGCTGTCGACTAAGGCGCTCGACCTGCTTTTCGTTCTCACCGGTCCGAACTTGGTTCATGCATAGCGTTCATGCGTAGCATTGTTCCAGAAGGATTCGGTATTAGGGGCAATGATGTGTTCGTGGACTTGTTGTCCCGAGAAGGATACTCGGACTCATAGAGGCAAAACGAGCGAATCGGCAGGATTCCGATGGACGACAAACAAGGTATGAGTTCATGTCTCTCGGACTCGGCTCCGATCTCACGTTACTCTCCCAAGCCTCTACCATGACAAAGAGCAATGTAACGGCAAACGTAACATCCATGATTTGTAAACCTAGCAACTAGGCACCGTCGGACTCTCACCGCCGCGGCGCATCATTGCGGATCTCGGTCTCGATCCAGCTAAGCCTTGAACTCCTCCCCCTCCTCTCCAGGCGGGACCACATAAAACATGTTCTCGCGCTTGGCAATCTCCTCGCCCTCCTCTCCTGGGGGCACGACGTAGAACATATTCTCCCGCTTCTTGAACTCCTCGCCTTCCTCTCCAGGCGGAACCACATAAAACATGTTCTCGCGCTTCGCGATCTCCTCACCCTCCTCACCCGGAGGAACCACATAGAACATGTTCTCGCGTTTAGCAATCTCCTCCCCTTCCTCTCCCGGGGGCACGACGTAGAACATGTTCACCCGCTTCGCAATTTCAGAGCCCTCTTCACCCGGGGGCACGTAGAAGAGGTTGTTCCGCTTCGCGATCTCAGAACCCTCCTCGCCCGGGGGCACGTAGAAGAGATTATTCCGGACCGCAATGGCCGCAGCCTCGGTGGCGGTGCGGGCTGGACCTCATCAGCAGCGCCTTTGCATCTTTGGGGAGAAACATACCTTGGATGGCCATGACCGGTGCAGCTGGTGCGGCGAGAGCGCCGGCCGCCAGGAAGGCGGTGGAAATTGCCGTAGTGAACTTCATCTTGTATCAGGTTAAGAATGGACAACTGACAGACACAGGGACGGCTTCAAGAGGGACACGTGGGTTGTATGGGACTTTATACAGCCCCCAGAATCAAATAATCCGGCTCGAGATGTCGGTGAGTGGGTTCCCTCTGTTTGTCCATTACGCATACGACGCCGCTCGCTGGATTCCTCCGCCTATCCGACGTCATCACCCCTAGGCCCCTTGCGGAAGGAATCTATGCCTGAGACCGATTTCTGCACCAGTAGTCATGTCTCCTTCCTTTCTCATCGGTTTCCACTGGCTACGTACACGATACCAACCCGGGATTGGACGGTCTGAAACTTACTCAGCGGACTTTTGTCGTGTATCACAACGGTTATCACGACTCCGCCGCACGAGCAAGCGTCACCTTCCCTTCTCGTAGGATCATCCCCGAGTCGGCCGTTGTTCTTTTGTTCTAAAGAGTTCCACCCGCGGCGGGGAAGCAGTCTACATCGGACTGTTCAAGACCGAGGGGGGTTCTGGTTCGACACTTTGGGTCGGCCGCGCCCACCGCCGGTTGACTTCTTCCTCGACACTCGACCGAAACGCTCGTCTTCCGTATCTGCCATTCCTTTGTTTCCCAGAACACCTAGACGGAACAAAATTTCGCAGACGCTCACGATGCCATCCAAACTCACCCATTACAAGGGCGTCCACTATGCGCCCCTCGAGGACCCATCAGAGGCAACCAAACCGCCATCCAGCTGGCTGACCCGGAACAAGAAAGCCGTGCTCGCCGGCGTGGTCTCGCTCCTTCTCTTCACCGCCGCCGGGACAAGCTACTGCTTCATCTTCCTCGGCCACTCCGACGACCACCACACCCAAACCGAACCGTTCATGAACGACTGCGGCAAGAGCAGCGCCGAGGCCATGGCGCGCGGCTGCAAGATGGAGCCGCTCTTCTACGGCTGGATCCCGCCGCAGTGCTACTACCCGGACCTCACGGCCGAGTTCCCCGTCTTCGCCGACCGGACGTGGTACGTCGACCAGGCCATGACGACGGCGATCCCCGAGCGCGACCTGATGGAGGGCAAGCACAGCAGCATCTGGACGAGGCGGTTCCATACCGAGCACTGTCTGTTTATGTGGCGCAAGCTCACGCTCGCGGTGCATGAGCGCTACGAGTGGGTGGATAACAAGACGTTGAGCATGTGGCATGCTGAGCACTGCACGGGCGATATTCTGGAGAAGGACGAGGGGTGGAATGCGACGAATAATGCCAAGTTGGGGACGTACAAGTGTATGAAGATGAACTGGGCGTAACTCGGGGAGCTTCAATGTCTACGTAGACGGGTGGATGGACGTTTGAATCCGATTCCGTTGACATGTTCAATTGTCAGCGCGTCCATCAAACGAAACCAGGCAAACGGGGGCTTATATTTGCGTGGATTTGAAGCAATGAGAGCGCGCCTGGTTTGGCCAAACCAGGATCAAAAAAGCCGACCGTTTACTGGTTTGTGCCAAATATTTCCTCAAACGGCTTAGTAATGCACTAACAATTACCCTTTTTACGTGGGTGATTTTGGCAAGGTTGGCTTGGTTGGGTGGCTCTTGCACGCACGCGTTAAAGCACCGACCACGTACCGAGTACGTACCGATCACGTGCTATACCACATGCGAGATCACGTGAAACCGCTACCCCTTGGGCCCCTCCCCCCTCCCTACCCCCAAAAGCCAAAGAAAAGCTACTTCAGTACTATTATAAGGGCCCTTATAAGTGGGTCAAATACTGTCAAATCCACGCAAACGAAGTCAAATAAACAAAGGCTTAGATTTGTCTGGAATTTGACGTTTTTTTCTTCCGTTTGCCTGGCGTTTGCCTGGTTTGCCTGGTTTACAGTGGGGTTCGTTTCGTTTGGTGGACGCGCTGTCAATTGTACCTTCTAAGGGCAGTTTGTTCACACATCGGAAAGGGGAGTAGACATGACTTTGAGTGGGATAGACGCAACATGGGACCTTTTAAAAGAATTCTTACAGCCTTGTTTACCTCCTCCGTCCCTGTTCTGACGTCCTTTATCCTCAAGCTTTCGCTTCCCCTGTAAACCTCGGTGTATCCTCGGCAAACATGAAGTGCTTGACCACACGGTTCCAAAGAAGCTTTAACATCTTCCGTCTGCGTTAATCTTGTCAGTCTCAAGCATACCTGGGTACCATCCCA